CGTAGCACCAGTTCCCTCCCCGAACGATATGTCAGGTCTGTTTTGGGTAATGAACAAAGAATGGGTGATATCTACAGGACGGAGGAATCGGACGAGGAATAACAGACCCGAAGACCATTGGCCGCCTACCCCCTACTGGCCGGCACTGCTTCGATCGTGGAGGAAAATAATCCCCAACAAGATAAACAAACCTAAATCTAAAGATGAAGTACTAAGACAACCGCTCTTCGGGAATGAATGGCTAACAAACGAGGCCAACAACCTACTCCTAGAACAGAGGTGGCTATCTTGGATCAAGAACGGTATCTGGAAAGTAGACCACTTGTGGATGGAGGACAAAAAAGACTGGATAACAGAACAAGAAGCTAGTGCCCGACTGAAAGGATGCCACAGACGAGAGACCAACCTTCAATACATACTCAGTCGTATTCCTCAGGAGTGGAAAGATATCCTGGTAAAAGATGAGTCGTGGAGACCGGGCGAATGGGGTCTTGTGATTCAAGACACATCCCCTACTAGAGCCTATCAATTCTCTCACATGCAGCAAGGTTCACACACCAGAGCCCTTTTCCTCTCCTACCCGGTCTCCTTCACCAATACGGACATGCCAGCTATTTTCAACTGCAATGTAGAAACATCTATATTGGATTCCTTCCTCCTCAGAAAAGTAAGGGTCCTAGGTACATGGCCAAAGGCAATTTTCAGACCAGACACTGCCATCCGATCCTTGGAGTTCGACCCAGCGGAGTGGGCCTGGAAGCCAAATACCACCAGCAACTTCAAGTCGGAAATCCCAATCCAGGATTACTCAGTAAAACTTGGGTACAGACTCTCTGAAGACCAAAAATCCAGATCCAATCATCAAGAACAGATGGCGGAACCTCGTGGGTCAAGAAGCAGACAAAATTACACGAATCCATTGGGAAAAATTCAAACGCATCAGACCAATCAAGATTAGAAGTTGGCAATGGCTGATTGTATACGCAGCCCTGCCGGTGAACCAATGGCTGCACATTAGACGGAAAACCACAGACCCAGACAGCTCGGAATTATGTACAGTCTGYTCTGAAGGCTCKGTAGAAGACGTAGTCCACTGCCTAGTGCTCTGTAAAGAGGCGACCGAATACTGGGCGAGAGCTTCTTCACTCTGGGATTCCCTCCTCACATCTCCCTTCCCCAAACAACCCATTCAACTGCTCCTCTTGACTAACATCCCTGATCAGGCTCGGAAGGCTGAGAGGATCTGGTTTGAACTCATCAGGAAAGTGACCCTATGGGTCATATGGAAGGAGAGATGCAGTCGAACAATTGAAGGACGGTCCAACCCACGGGAGAAAGTGTGGATAGAAACTAAAACAATGATTCAAGCCGAGATCCTTTGCAGATGGCGGAAGATCAAACGAGCCTGGACAGAAGACGAAAAACAGCGGAACAAGGAGAGGCAGAGATTCTATAGGATTTGGCTGGTCGATGGCAAGGTTGGAGAATTGCGACAGGATCGGGTATGCTGGAAAGAATGGCACAATTGAATTCCAGAAAGGGGTTCCCAACATCAGACAACGCTGGAAGGCTTAACCTCATCTTAGGCCGCAAGAGGATAAACATAATCCTCAAGCGACCCAGGGGGTACAGACAACGTGGAGAAAGGAGAAATAAGTCTGATAACTCTGGAGCATGAACGGGGATAGCAAAGGATGATCCCATCTCAGAGATCCGGAAGCTGACGAACACCCCGCCAGGGTCCAATTTTGACGATCGGATGATAAGAATGCAGGCTGAGGGTGTAGGGTTTAATTATAAACGGTTGACCTTCTAAAGGGGGGCAAAGTGGTGTATGGGGAAGGATCAGGTTGGGTAAGGACAACAGATGAGATCTTTCTAGGGTCAAATGCATTATCTGACAGACCTGGATTCCGGGTCTGAGAGGAAAGAGAGGGACAAGGCAAGCTGACAGTTAATCCTCCCGTGGTGGAGCAGTCAATGCTGCTCAGGGGTCCTTCGGCCTGACGGAAGGAAGCGTGTGTGATTGGTAATTGATGTAATTTGACTTGCCGGTGGAATAGTAACCGGACTGACGCTCCCCAGAATAGACGGAGCCAGGACCATAAGGCCCTGTTTAAAAAAAAAAA